TCTCTCTCTCTCTCTCACACTCCCTCGACCTATTTCTCTCTCTCTCTCGCTCTCTTCCCTTGCTTTCTTTCTCCCTCCGTCTCTCACTCTCTCTCTCTCTCCCCATTACTCTCTCGCTACCTCTCACTCTCTCTCTCTCCCTCTCTCTCTCCCTCCCTCCCTCTCTCTCTCTTTCTCTCTCTCTCTCTCGCTCTCTCTCTCTCCCCCTCTTCTCCCTAACTCTCTCCTCGATGTCTCCCTTCACTCTCTCTCCCTCTCTCCCTCTCTCTCTCCATATCTCTCTCTTGCTCTCTCCCTTATTCCTTCTTTCACTCTCTTGCTCTCTCCCATGCTCCTTCTTTCTCTCTCTCTCTGTCTCTCTCTCTCCCTTTCCTTGCTCCCTCTCTCTCTCTCTCTCTCACTCACACTCGCTCGATCTCTCTCTCTCTCTCCCTCTCTTCGTCCCTCTCCCTCTCTCTCTCTTACTCCATCTCTCTCTCTCCTCCCTTGCTGTCTCTCTCTCTCCTCCCTTGCTGTCTCTCTCTCTTCCCTTGCTCTGGCGGCTTATGACGCCGGTAATAAAATTACTTAACACCGACGGTGGTAGCCGCTGATATACCGCCGGTAATATTTAGGTCCGACGGTTATATGACCGCCACTAGGTCCGACGGCCTATACTTAAATAACCACCGGTTAGGCCGCCTGAATTAACCGGCGGCCAAACCGCCGTTATTACCGGCGGCTATAAAACTGTCGGTCAAGGCCGCCGGTAATAGCTGAATTTCCTGTAGTGTCATGACATCTTACATATATTATATAGGGGTGTCAATATTTGACACGACCCTAGAACCTGACCCAAACTCAAAAATGGCCGGGAAGTGACCTGCAAGCGTGAGCGCGACCTAACAAGCACGAGCGCGACACCAGATCGGTCATTCACAAAAGACTGCACCTGACTTTTGAACCAGACTTTTGCACCGGACCCTACACCGAACTTCCGCTTCACATGTGCAAGCACGAGTGCGACACCTTCATTGACTAGCGAAAGCAATACTTTCCCGCAATTCTATTATTATTATATAAGCAAAGCTATACTTTCAATAGAGACTCTAAATGCATTGATAAAATTAGACTTTTAAAAGAGTTTTTATTTGTCATATATCCACATGCTTAATAAATTATCACATGAATTGATAAAAACTATTCCAAATTAAATTAATTCTCATGTTGTAGATTACTAACGATTGATGGTGTGATTTTGAATTTGAAGACTATTCCAAATGATAAATTAAGAGAGAGAGAGAGAGAGATTGCCATTCCTTTTTTTAGTAAAAAGTGTAATCATATATAGAAAATTTTGGATTTATTTTAAAGCATTTTAGCTTGGTGATTCACAAGTAATTTGATCAATAAGAAATTTGATATTTAACTGTATTTATCATTGTTGATGCGTCGGTCATTGTGCATCTTTTCTAATATGTATGACCACATGATCCTCTCCATTTAGTAATCCATTTTCTTTGGATTTGTTCATACTCATTAATTACACCAAGTGTCATGAATACTATGATGCTATATTTTTAATTCAAAACTATATTAATTTCTTGAAATTTGTCCAATATTGAGGGGTGTACCTAAGCCAAGCCAGCTCGTGAGCTAATCAGACTTGACTTGGTAAACAGCTATTGAGCTGAGTTTAATGAGCTGATGAGCGAAGTTTAAACTAACGTCGCTCGACTCGACTCATAAGTTTATGAGTTCGTTCAATTAAATTTTTTTAATAAAAAATACTTAAAAGTATATTAGAATTCAATTATCGATCATAAGGTTTTAAAAATTATCATTATCCCTTTAAAGCAAACGATTTCTTATTATTTCCCATTTATTATTTTTTATTTTTAATCAGGTTATCTTAATAACAATTTGAATAAAAATAATTTCTTTTCTCCCTTAATAACTGAACCAACTAATGAGGCAATTCAGACTCATGGAATAAAATTCAAATTCGAACTCAATTTATTAATCAAATTCAATCTAAAGACGGAGGTGGCTCATACTTGGTTTGACTAGTTACACCGATAAAATGCAAATACCTACTAGAGATGTCAAAAAATAACCCGACCCATCAATCTGATCTAAAACTTTTAGGTACATGTTGACCTATTTAATAAACGAGTCAAATTCTAACTTGTTTAATAAACAAGTCGGATTCAAATTGACCCACAAACTCTTTTTTAACTCGAAAATTACTCATTTAGTATCTTTTTCCTTAATTTTTTTTACTTATGAGTATAATATTCTTATTTTTATCAAACATCTTACAAATTTTATAGTTAATAAGTTATAATTTTTTTTAATCAAAAGGGTTAACATGTCAACTTTAGATAAGTCGGGTTACTAGCCGATCATATTTGTATTGATGTTTTTATCTATTTGGGTCACATTCACTAAATTTGGATCAAACCCGAACTCGACACATTAGAAAATTATTTAAAAGAATATTCAGCACATGCGAAAAAATAATTTTCTTGTGATGTTGGTCTATACTGACCATGAGATTTCATTGAAAACGTGTCAAATAACATGCCATCTACTCTGCAAAACTACCCAATTGGTATTTCCTTCTTCTCAAGTGGCAACTTGTATTTATATAGTTTTTTTTTAAAACTCTATGACATACTTTTCACAAATAGAATCGCTAATATGAGACATATGGAAACAACTGTTTGATTAATTATATATATTTTCTTAATAGATTTCAAAAGTTGCTTTTTTCGCATAACTTTACAACCAACTTTGCAAAATGCTACAACCATTTCAAATAGACTCATAGACTTCGTTTGGGACAGCTTTGTTATTGCTTATTAAAACAGCTTTTTAGTATAGCAATTTTAAAATTTAACCTAAAAAGTTATTTGAAAAAGCAGTAAAAAAACCGTCCCAAATGAAGCCATAATCTCTTGCATCATTCATTGTATATACTTTAATTCTCTATGAAAAACTCATTGAACAAAGCTCAACTTGATATATTGGTTGGGGGCTTTAACCATCAATCGAGATTTTGGGTTCGAGTCTTATGTGTCATTTGTGTATGAGTTTATTTTAATTGGCCTAAATGTCCCCCAAAAAAAATTCTTTGGGAAAAATAGGCTCTCCTTAGGGGTTAAAGAAAAAGATCGTTGATAGAGGCATCATCAACTAAAGAACAAATAGAATTTTGAGTGATTGAAATGAGAGACCGAAGCAAGCAGGAGTGGTAGAGAGAGAGAGAGTCTGTGTGATGATGAAAGGTAGTGTGAGATATATATATATATATATATATATATATATAATTTTGATGTATGTTTTGGTTGTTAAACTATATATATTTCTCTTGCAGGTATATGCAGGTATTATACCAAAGAAACTAATGATCATGTTCTGAAAAATAATAATAATAATAAATTTCATGTGCATGTATTTATAGATAGTTCCTACTATATTATGCACTCTAGTTTAATTACACTATGCATTCACCACATTTTCTTTTTTCATTATCTGTTTACAATGAAATTTTGTAAAGTTGGGATAAAACATGACAATGAAATCCTCAGCTGGATATGTATTGCCTGCGAATCGATTTCTCCTCTCACCCGTTGAGAGTCCGAAATTCAAATCTGCAAATATTTATATTTTTTGTTTCCCTAAGAAAGTTATCTAATCAGCCTGAGCTAGTCCTCCTAATCTGACTTGGGGGCTTGTTCTTCAGGGTGATTGGGACCTCCATCTCCATAAGCTGCGCACAGCTTGGACATAAAAAAATGTTAGCAGTGCTATTAAACGAGCATTCTACAATATCAAGTATTTCTCTTAAGAATTTAATTCAATAGTGAGAATGAGAAAATCAATCATTTCGGTAATCTACGCTGATGCATTTAAGTGTGTTTGAGGCAGCGTTTTTACTACTTAAAATTACAATCACGGTTTTTGTTTGGTTACTATTTTTTTATTGCTTTCAATAAATTTTTGTACTAGGAAGCTGCTTTCTACAATAACTATCCAAAAGTTATTTTCCGTACAATAGCTTTACAATGACATTTATGAAAAGCTGCAACCGTCCCAAATGGACCCTTGATCCCATGTGTTCGAGGAAAGAAAAGTATGCTATATATATATATATAACCTCTGGTTAATTGCTTTTCTTTTCCCTTTCACATTAATTTACTCTTTGTGTTGTATATGCCTGAATCACCTAGCTCTATCAATTGCCTCATATTCGATAGGTGTAATTTTTATAGTTTATTTAATATAATTGTTTCTTAATCTAACCATTTAATATGACCACGCATATATGTTAGTATTCTAATTTATGTCACATCCAACTTGATTACCAGTTAATGTGCCATAAAAGTTGATTTCCTAGTCCAAAAATGCAGTTTTCAGCGATTTATTATGTTATGTGAAGTGCACTTGCACCTTTTATTTTGGGGTTCAGAGTGTTTCTGAATTAAGTATTTACTAGGAATCCAAGGAAAGTATTTTTCATCATGAAACACTTAGTTTATCCCAACTAATTGGGTTGCCTTTTTATTCTCTCTTAGCAGCCCATTATTATTAGAAGATGAACTATTTTTAGTGAAAATCTTTTCCCATAAGCTAAGGCATAGTTATCTTTTGTTTAATCTCATTTCACCCAAACCTTTTGCACCAACTTCAACCCTTGCTGCATGATATTCGCTTTCTTTCATATTCCTTGAATATAATCACGATATACATTTTCCCTAATAAGTAACGGCTAGCATTCTAATTATCTTCCTAGTGTATACTCAGCAGTCAGCAATATCACTTTAATGTGGAAGGGCACTTAAGGAAAGTAAATTTAACAAACAAAATAATATGGACAGAAGATATTCGAAAAGATTTACATAAAAGAGTTTAAATATCTCATGCAATACTGATAGAAAACAGCCACGGAACACAAGAAAAACTGGAAAAACTGCTGAATTTCTCAGAGAAATTCAGCAATAACAGTGCAGTTTTTCACAAAAATCTGTAGGAAAACTGGGAGAAATACACTTGAAATTCAATAAGAGAAGGAAAAGAAAACATGATATAATGAATCTTCAATTCGAGAGAAAGATTCAGCTCTTCAAATCTCTAGCCGAAGCCAAGAGCCCAAAAAAAAACCCTAGATATATCTCAAATTCAGATTTCACAAATTCAAAATGAAAACCTCAACTCTCTCTAAAGAAACTAATTAAAGCAAAGAGGACAAATACAAAATCCCTAAAAAGCCCCTAATTCAAAATTTTCCTCCCAAAGCAAAATTTAATTGAGTTGTGGACCCCATCTCCCCAACCGGCCCCTCTCTCTTCCCTTGGTTTCGCCCCCACTCTCTTTTGTAGCAAAGAACCGGTCTAGATTGGACCAGTTCAGCTGGCCCAAGGGCCGGCCTAACAAACACTCAATAGAATGAATGGACAAAGAGGATCATAAAACCAACCTCAACTAATTGAGTTAAGGTCAACTAACGGTGATACTGTTGATGATCCACAGTATAATATAACAATTTTACATTTGAATGTCTTTTTACTTTGAAATTCAAAAGTAAACATCTTAATCAGTGCTTGAGGTACCAATTACTCATTCCAAGCAATACTAACGGAATCAAAATAACATTAATGCCTAAGAACTATAGAAATAACTAATTCATGCCAAAAATCTAGTACGCAGCAACAGGCATCTTCAATTTTTTGACAAATAAATTTGTGAAATTTGCACAGAATAAAGATAAAATCAATTAGAAAAAAACAACTAATTGTGAGAACCAAAAAAATATGAGCAAACTCAACGCTGAGCACCATAAATGCCAAAAATGTCCTGTATATTGTCAAAAGTCACCTGGGAAAGAGGGAATGTTCCATCCACTGAATGGGCCACCAGATTGCATGCAAGCAAATTAATCACTAAATTTTTATAGCTGCCATGATAGCGAGGGTACCAAGGGAAAAGACATGCAGGAAAAAATGAGTTAAAAACTTGACATCTGTAAATAGTTTTCGTATTTTCCAAATCTCAGGAATTTAGCTTGTTCCAGGCCTTTCACGTTAATTCTTCTTTTCAATCATTAAATACTTCATGTTCTTTGCATGGCTATACACTTTTTGCCCTTTATCTTCAGTAGCGTGGCAAATTTATTTCCTAAAGCTGAATATCTAAGAGTGATACACTCACGGAAAAACACTAAATATGAATAATAAGATGCGCATTTGAAGTAAGTCATATTTTCTTGTTGTCCTAATTTGTTTTCTTGTTAAAATATGTCTATGATGATGATCCTACTGAAAACAGGTTGTATTCTTTAATGTTTGGATTTGCAAGTCTTCTCAGTTCCTGAATCCCCTAGTTCAATTATTTCCAATTTCTCGTTTCAGCAGCTATCCAGTTCTCTGTTTTGAAGTTGATTAATTGCTATATTGTTCATTTGTTACTCAGCTTATAACTTAGTGCTATAGTTGACTGTCTTTATTATAGAACCCATGTTCCTGCTGATTATTTTTTAAATGGAGTTGCCTTCTAAGACTCTCTTCCTTCCTGGCCATTCTTGAAGCTTGCATATAGCATTATTATGTCAAAAAAGTTAAAAAAGTATAACTATTGGATATGGAACTATCACTATCTTCATTCAACAAATTAAAAAAAAGCAGCAGAAGGAAGATTGTCACTATAAACTTTTTTCAAACAAAATTACACTTAAAAGTAAAATGAGCGCAAAAATCTGTAGCTATATTGGAATGTCTAAAAGTGTGATAGAATATCACTAGATGAAAGTGAAGAAGAAAGCTAAGGTCCCGGACCTCTTAAGATCAGAAATGCTGATCCTTCTCGGTCTTTCTACAAGAGATTCGTGATAACCTCTTGCCTTCCATGAATTAATTCTAGGATCTCAGAAATACCCGGCTATTACTATATATATAGGTTCCTTACCATCTGCAACTTTCCTGAATTACAACAAGACACTGTAGCAAGCTTCACATGTTTCATTATCTCTTACCTACTGTGACTTGACCAACTAGCCCTATAGCACTACTAACTATTGATACCTTCCTTTACGGTATTCCACAATAGCGGGAGAAATCATGCTAGGCAGGAATTGCTGAAACGAGGCTTGAAAGTAGAAAATTTATTGTTTTCGCAAAACCTAGGATTTGGAACTTAATGTTCTTGCTTGAACTTTAGTGTGGTGATTTGAAATTTGCATTATCAGGCTAGATCTTTGAGGATTATGAGGAATTACATTTTATTAGTCCTCTAAGGCATGTAAAAATCATTGCACATTGAAAACAGAAAGAAAATTCTAATTTTCCTCTTAATTCTTGTGCATGTGTGCTAGGATGAGGACACTATAATTACTTCATAGTTCACATGTCTTGACAATTACTTTTAAGGATGAATCTCCTTGTATCAACGTGAGCCTTTGATCTCACACTAATTTCTATTCTTATTTTCCGAGTAACTTGATTTAGTGATTTCTGTGCGGGCATGATTGAAGATTTTTTAAGTTTGATACATTAGTTCTAGGGGATGAATCTAATTGTGCTGGCATGCGGTCTGGATCTCCTAATTAGAGATTTCTATCCTTCTTTCTCTACTTTTTCTCAGAAAATTTGTAAAAATTAATAGTTAAATTACTGAATAAACAAAATCAACCAATAAAAATATAAATTAAGTTAAAAGAATAAATTATAATTTTTGGAAACTACACATTTACAACTTCATAAATAAGCTGATTTTAATACAAATGATGAACCATTCCTATACATCCATAATCAATGAGATCAAATTAATTAAGTTATAATACAAATGTAAACCAGAAGCAAAAAGTTGCCAGCACTAAACCAATTAGCTAAATCTTCACTTAAGACAATATCTCACAAAAATCGCCCAATCTACTCATCTTAGAGTATACAAAATTTGCATAAAGAGAGGATCTACTCACCTTTGATTATACTTGAATTGCTCAGAGAGAGGATGTACAAGCCCATGGAACTAGACCACTGAAGTCAACAATGCACCAACCATTCAAGTGAAACACTAGTAGAACCAACCAAAGTAACCAACTTGTCAAAGAGGGCTAGCTAAGTAAACTCCTCAATTAAACTCGGCTTAAATGTTAAAGTCCACGGAATTAGCCAATCACTTGGTCAATTGTCAACCAACAAAATTTATTCACTTTATAGGAAGTATTAACAATCATTGCTATGTAATTTTACTCGTATTTATTAATTGAAACCATTCCAATAGAGTTGAACATTGACCTAAAGTTATAAATAAGTGGTTAGAGGATTAGCTCAGCACATGATCATGTCACAACAATCTTCTATCATCTAACACAAAAACATAATAAAATTCTCAAAAATGTTCACCCTCTCTCTCTCTCTCTCTCTCTCTACAAGACTTAACTATGATTTTTTATAAGGTCCTGACATCAACCACAGTTTGATCTAGTATCTTAAAATGTGCAGTCGACATGAAGAATGCCAAGGACAAAAGCAAGGCCATGGAGCATCCTGAGGAAACAACAAGATCTCTACAGATTGAAAAACAAGAGTATATAATTACATGTAAACTTAATAAGATGGAAGTTCATTTGATAAGGAATCTTTTGCGCAAAAAAACTTGAAATAAGGACAAAATGAAATGACATTATAAACCCTTGATGCCCTTGAAATCCAAAGGTCGGAATCAAATCTCTATGATGCCCTTGAAAAAGCTTAAAAACCTGCTATCTTTGTGATCAAAATCAACCATTAGATCTAACTTAAATGGTTGCGATGTGGACTATTGCTAAGAGGGAAAAAATAAAGCCCTTTCCATTCATGTGGCCACCAAACTAAACCCTAACATTTTACACAAAAAAAGAAGAGCATCATAGCCTTATTAATTTGAAATGGATGACAAAGATTGGATTAAATTGGGAGCTGAAATCATTTGTGCTTGAATTTCAATTGGATTTAATTTGAGGGTTTGAGTGAATTTCATAGTATGTTTATTTATGTAAACATATATTTTTTTACATTCTTTAATAATTTTTTTTTTAGTTTTAATTTATGAATTTTATCTATTAGAATTTATGTTTTAATTTGTTAATGAAGATTTGTTTTAGATTTTTATATAATTTTAAATTCAACTTAAATTTGATTTTAAATGAGATTAAATGCGGTTATATATATATATATATATATATATTGTTATGTCCTTTTTTATTTTTTATTTTTCATGTTTTATATTTTAATTTGAAGGGCTTATGATTATGTAATCTAGGTTTTAATCAAGTACTTAAGGAAATAATCACATAAAGAAACCTAGAGGTGTCAATATTAGACACGACATGAAAATCAAACCCAATCCTAACCCAAAAAAAAATTGAACTGGGTTCAACCTGTGTGATATTTAGGCTAACTGAAGTGGTTTAAACAAATTAGGGTCGTGTCAACCAGGTTTGGATCAATGCAAAAATAATGGTTTAATTATTTGATTCCCTTTCTTAAGGAAAAACTTATATTAAGTTATTTTTTTTCTTGTTATTTTTGTTGAGTTATTGTGTCCAAATTTGATAATCATGTCCATATTGCATCGGGTTGATACTGACCAATCATGAATTAAATATTTTGTCATGTGGGTCAAAGTGGTGTTTGCTCGAGTTGAACTCATGTTAAGAATTTTGACCCATTTATTAAATAAGTTGGGTTCCAGTTGATTGTATTTGTTAGTTTGATTTTGGGCTAGACCCAAACTTGACCAATGGATCTTAATGGTTGCTCCTAAAATCTCAATGAACTCATCTCACAAAAATACTTGTGCACTCAACCTGCAAAAGTTCTCTGAGAACTCATTTTACAAAAAAAAAAAAATTCTGAGAGCTAACCCCCCTCCCAAAATAAAAAAGGGAAATTCTTATAATAAAGAACTTGAGGAACTCATTTAACTAGAACTTTTGTAATTTTTTAAAATGCACACGTCAAAATCAATAATTAATAATTTTACTTGAAGGCAGCCAGACTTCAAAGGTAAATAATAACAGATTGATAAATTAGATCAAAATTAGAAAAACATATTTCCTAAATGCATACTTAATTAGGTAAACAAGAGATTGACTAACTTAAGAAAGAAACCAAAGTGGTCTCTGATTAAAGTTAAAAAATTGTAAGACAATTCTCCCCAAAAGAGCTATAGCCCCCAAGTAGACAAACAATCTACATTTAACAAAGTCACCCAAACACTTAACACAAAACATAAATTTCAATTAAGAAAAAGAATAAACCTGATGAACTTGAAGTAAATAGTATCAAATATTTGGACTAAATCAGTAGCTCGCTTCTTGGAGTGATTCCACATTTGTTATTTGTACTAGTTATCAATTCAATGCTTAAAAGCATTCAGTAATTCATTGATTGGATTTATTTAACAATTATTTACTTGAATCTATCAATTTGGCAATTCACCATGATTTTTTCCTAAAAGAAAGTTCTCTATTTTTTAGTACTACGGACTTCGACTAATTAAAGCATCGAGCAACATTTTTAGTAACTAAGGACTAAAAGTCGAGCCCTATAACTCAAACTCTCCTCTTTATGACAATATGCACATTGAGAGAGAGAAGACCTTTCAAGCATTGAGTCTTAAAGATGTTTATTACCTTCATGAGGAAAAAATCTGTAGTAAAAGGTAAGGCCAATCCATAGTGCAGATTCGTAGGATAAAGATAGATGAAGGATAAAATGTTAAGACTTGAACATAACATTGAAATATCTAGAGTTATTATTTGACGCATTACATTCAAACTTATTATTCATATCATTATATTCAATGTTATTATTCGATTCATTCTTTTCAATGATTTAATTTGCTTTTTCTATCAAACATTAGTATTTGGAGAAGGAAAGGCAATTAGATAAATAACTATTTGACATATCCAAATTCTAACTAAAAAGGATATTCTAACATTCAAGAATCATTCAGATAACTTCAACAAAATTTTTAGGGATTTGTCACTAATTTTCAAAAAACTAAGTCATTTATCATTTACATTTTACTTATAAGGAAAAATAAGCACTAAGTAAAGAAAGAAAATAAAAATAGTTGTGAATTAAGCTTCACCTTTGTTGGGCATTACAAATCTATCATTATCTTCATCTTCATCATCATTATCACTAAAACTTGATGACTCAATCTGTCAATAGATCAAAGAAGTTACTACCAACATTTTCTTTTTTGCTCCAGAATGTCAGACTTTGCTACAACTAAGCAAAACCTGATGTCAATCTCATATTTTGATGAGACTTAGTGATAGGTCGGCGCCTATCCAGCTGACCCCACATGGGTTGAACCGCCTCCTCTCTAACCGCCTAAGCCATAGGGATGTGAGCCCCTATTTAATTAAATAAAATATCTTATTTAAGGCAAGGGATTAATCTATTTTGGGAAAGGATGTTTGAATTAATTTATTTCAATTAATCTATTTTGTGAAAGGAGGTTTTGAATTAATCTATAAATAGGCATGAGAGGTGAGAGTTAGGGCATGCTTGAAGTATTGTTTTCTCTTGGGAGTTTTGGGCTCTAGACCTATTGTCTAGAGATTGGGAGAGAACGATCCTCCTCTCGAATAGAGGATCAATTGTATCTTTGCTAGTGTTTGTTTTGCTTTGATTTTATCTAATAAAATTTATTGTTTTGGGTTGCTTTCATTATCGTCTTGTGTTCTTTCTCGCTGTTTTTACCAATTTATTGTTAAGGTTGCTTGCGAACTCAAGTATTTCCTATCACTTAGTTGGTATATGCTCCCAAGCAGATAAAATCATTCAAGATTTTAGCATCAAATCTTGCTTGAAGCTCGGCTTTCCTGTCTCTTAGATTATTAATCGTGCTTCAAGTTCGGCAACACACTTCATAACTTCATCACCTTGTGAAAAGACTCTAGCACAAGTTGGGCGGCTTCTGGTTTTTGCCTTTTTATTATGGCAGAATTTGGAAGGTCATCTCAGTTTGATGTGGAGTAAAATCAAATACTACATCTAAGGAAGGTCTGTAGGCTCCATGGGTTGCTCAAAATATTGTTTTACGAGAGAGATAATTATTGGCTTCAAAAATCTAGAAGGCTATAACCAACAATCCTTACATAAATTATGATTGATGGTGGTTTAATTTTCATGTTTTATCGTTACCGTTTTCTCCATATAAATTTGAAACGAAAATAAATGCAAACATTAAGAAAAAGATTGTTTTTTCCGCACTGTTTTTATTTATGCTGTCAGAGCATCTAATTTTGGTGCCCTTGTTCTTTCGTGAAGGAGCATGGCATTGGTTCATCCACATCGGATTCAGCCACAACAAAAGCAATAGCATCCGTCAGTACAATTCAGAGAGTTATCCTTCGACCCCAGCTATGTAGTTCAATCTCTTCAAATAATTGAACATAAGCTTAATGTGAATGTTCCAATCACTTATAATCAAAGGCAAGGTTGAATACCTAAGGAAAATTACTGCTCAACTATCTAAAGATACACCAACTTCCAATATTTGAGAAGCTGTGAACTTTATCGTCATGGCATGGCTTATCAACTCCATCTAACCCAAAATCGGAAGAACATTCTAATTTTATAATACTACCAAGAAAATTTGTGAAGCTATCTTGGAGATATACTTAAATCCTGAAAACATGCCCCATTGTTTTGGGATTAGATTTAAAATTCCACACCACTTGATAAGGTAACAATATCATAACAGAATACTACAATATCCTAATGGAATTATGGCAGGAAATGAACATGTTCTATGAGATAGAGCAGTGTTAATATAGATGAATGGCTGAACAGGAGCACGCATTCAATTTTCTCCAGAGATTAACTCCTAAACTTGATGCAGTTTGAGGAAAATTAATTGGAATGAAATCATTTCCCAACATCAGGGAATCATTTGTTGAAGTTAGAAGAGAGAAAAGCAAAAACTACTGATGATGAAGTAAAAAAACCCATGTTGAGCCTACCCAACTCTCAAAATTATGCTCTTCCTTCTTTCAAGAAGGAGAGAGAATATGGATACCAAACCAAGAATAAATTATGGTTTGACCATTGTCACAAGCCTCACCACAGTCATGACCCATGCTAGGAGATTCACAGAAAACCAGCAAATGGTCTCAACTATCTCTC